CAGAGTTAAGCCATTCCATAAACTGTATCATTAGGCCTTGGATCTCTAAGGGGCCAGGTGGAATGTGACCACCAACATACACCTGTGTTCTGCGGAAGTTCCCTCCTTCCACTGGGTCTACATGCCCTAACACCCTCTTATGAATCTCAAGAATATCACCCATGGTTATGTCTCGTAATCTGTACAGAAGTGTAGAATTTATGTACTTCATTGCTGCATCTAAGCCTAGAATTTCATTGTGCTCATCTATGCTTTTGCCCGATATAGCAATCCGAGTCTCTAGAATACTTCTTGTTTGTTGCAATGTCATTGTATTACCTTCTATGGCTACTGTGTGATAAATATGTTGGAAATATGCCTCCTTTTTTGCTCTTCGTAATGCTGAATTGTTTTCTGGTATTGAAGATAGTGCATCTCTTTTATCATCAATTTTCCTCAACATTTCTCTGTCTAAGTTTTCAACAATGCTGGCTGTTCTTTGTCTGTTCGTTAAAGCACCAGTGTGATCAGGGTAATTAGTTAAAGCTAATGTATAAAGCTGGTCTGCTTTTACTATATCTTTTTTAGTATCTTCTAAGAACTCTCCATAGTGATTTAAAATATCTGCATGTTTTGGTGACAGAGCGAATGCATGTTGAAATAATTTTAATGCTTTGTCGGACTTTCCATGTTTCTTCATTTCTAATGCAGCATTTAAAGACACCACAGCTTCCGCATCCCGAGCTTTATCTTGTGCCTTAGGTACTATAGGTACGGGATTCTCATCTGAAATTGGTTCTAAGTAGTTCCCGTACAGCCCTTCTGGTATAGGGGAAAATGGTTTGGTAATTCTAATGTCATAAGTTAATAATTTGTGTAAAGATATAACAACAGCTAGTGTACACACCATACTAGAGAGTATGACTACGGTCCTGCACTTATCCACTATCATTTTGGTGAATATTTCATTTTTGCACGAACACTTCATTTTTTCGCCTTCGCTCGTTTTACCTAAGTACAACATGGCCGTAATCACTGTAACATGAAACTGATGTTAACATCTGTGTTTCATTAATCATATCGAAACATTTAGATTTCATTGCGATACGCAATATTATTTCTAAACCCAAATACCAGTGCACCACGTAAGGGCATTGTTGACAATTTTGTTAAATTGACACTTCTACTGACATTTAGTTGAAAATCAGCTGTTTGAACACTCCATTCTACGCTGTTCTAAAGAATTACAATAACAATATTAAATTATTGAGCGTATGGGGTCTCGAGAGCGCGCACGGGTAGGTACCCCTACCTCACCAATTCTGCCCGAGGAGCAGTCATTTGGAGGGTGGGACTGCCGTTTTAACACATAATGGGCATTGATTAAAAAAAATTGTTGGATTTAATTTTTTTTTAAAGTATTGAGTAATTTAAGAAAGTAAATGATACATTTCTTAAATATTGACTAGTTGTTGTTTTATTATTAATAAATTGAAAATATGAATGACGTGCTCTAAGAATTCTGAACAGACCGAAACAGGTGGAAATCTGAAGGCAAAGTCAGGACTGTATGGCGGATGCATTAACACCTCCCAGCCAAGCTCTCTTTATTTTTGCTGAGTGGCTAAATATATGTGAGGTCTAGCGTTATCATGATGAAAAACCACACCCTTTCTGTTGATTAATTCCGGCCGCTTTTTCTCAACTTCTTGCTTTAATCTCATCAGTTGTTCGCAGTAGAGCTCAGAATCGATGGCCCTGCCTGGTGGTATCAGCTCATAATGAATAATGCCTTTCCAATCCCACCACATACACAGCATCACTTTGTTGCGAGTTAACCCGGGTTTCGCGACAGTCTGTGAAGCCTGACCGGCCTTTGACCACGACCTTTTTCGCACGTTCTTGTCGTACGTGATCCACTTTTCATTACCAGCTATCAGCTTCTTCGAAAATGGTTCGGTTTCATTACGTCGTAATAAAGAATCACAAATGAGTACACGGTTCATTAGGTTCCTTTCAGTGAGCTCGTGAGGTACCCAGATATCGAGCTTTTTTGTGTACCCAGTTTTTTTTCAAATGCGCCAAAACTGTTTTGTGGTCAATTCCCAGTTCTTCAGCTACGTCGTAACTACAGATATGCTGATCTTGCTCCACTTTTTCAAAAATGGCATCCAGTTTATCCGTTATAGGGCGACCAGAACGACGTGCATCTTTGACATCAAAAATCAATTTTTTTTAAAATGTATCGAATTTCTTCATTAGATTCACTCATCTTGACAGTACGAAAAATAAATAAAAATCACACATTTTCCTAATTTAAATTTGGAATTATCTTTTTTAAAATTTNTGCTGATCTTGCTCCACTTTTTCAAAAATGGCATCCAGTTTATCCGTTATAGGGCGACCAGAACGACGTGCATCTTTGACATCAAAAATCAATTTTTTTTAAAATGTATCGAATTTCTTCATTAGATTCACTCATCTTGACAGTACGAAAAATAAATAAAAATCACACATTTTCCTAATTTAAATTTGGAATTATCTTTTTTAAAATTTAAACTTTTAATGATACCAAAAACAGCCATATACAAATAGTATAGCCAAAAGATTTTATTACAAGTTCCTACTATAATGCGAAAAGACTTTTCCCAACCTATTAATTTTGTCAATTAACCTAAAACTATTGCTGTGGTAAAACGTGGAGACATCGATTGCATTATCTTATCAGCTTTAAATAATATACTTTTTGTGATTTTGTAGTGCTTACAGTTCTTTCGTCCTTTTTTATTTCTCTATCTTATTCTAATAACGCTCAGCGCCTTTTTTCAAATTTACCCGGTTGCTACTGTAGCGCCGCCCTTATTTAGCAGATTTTAACGGACACTTTTTAGACACGGAGACGGTTCTCTTTACCTCTACTCTCCCTACCTTCATCGATATCACCCATTCATTTAACCTGAGTACGATATAAGTGTTTAATCTATGATTTAAATGTCATTTTTGTTTTCTAAATTAATAACCTCATTATACTCTTCTTCTTTTTTCCTATCTAATCGTTGGTAGCTTGGGTCAGATCCAATAAGCTTTGCATTAGACGCCATCAGCTCGACAAAGAGGTCGACGTGCAACCTAACCAATGCATCAGACCGCTGAGTTTCTCACCGGATCTTATCAATGGGTCGCGTTTCCGATCCGGTAATAGATTCGTTCGCGTAGCAGTTGCTCTTGAGTTGTTAGGTCTCCTTCGGAGGCGCTCGGGCAGCTTTTAGAAAATCCCACCCCTTCTGGCTGAGCCTTTGCTCGCCCATCTGTCCTGGTGAAACTGGAAAGGCCTCTGGGCCATCAGTAATCCTTCAATCATAAAAAAACTTGGGGCTATTCCAACTTCACGCAGACCGGTAGATGAGCTCAACTTGAAAGAATTGCTAAGACTAGCCCTAGCAAGAGCAGTGCTTCGCAGAATCTGCCACCAGATTGGAATCGCGACCCACTAAGAAGATCTGGCGAGAAACTCAGTGGGCTATGTCTATGGGTTAGTTCGCTCGAGATCGACGAGAACGNCTTCAATCATAAAAAAACTTGGGGCTATTCCAACTTCACGCAGACCGGTAGATGAGCTCAACTTGAAAGAATTGCTAAGACTAGCCCTAGCAAGAGCAGTGCTTCGCAGAATCTGCCACCAGATTGGAATCGCGACCCACTAAGAAGATCTGGCGAGAAACTCAGTGGGCTATGTCTATGGGTTAGTTCGCTCGAGATCGACGAGAACGGAATGCTTGAGGAGACTAAAAGTACTGAAAGTGGATCCGGGGGATCCGGCAAGACATGGTTCGAGAGACAGTGACTTTGCGTTGCCTCGTCGCCTGGGTCGGGTATGTAGTTTGCGGTGGCCACGATAATAGGGTTATTGTGCCATGCCGCTTCTTCAAATTAGCGTTCTGTCGCTTCCTTGAGATATTTACGTATCGGTTCTAGATTTAGGTCGTCGTGAAGATCTACGTTCCTCGCATACCACGGTGCTCGGACGGCTATCCTGCAGAAACGGGATTGCATGACCTGGAGAGAGTTAATGTGTGTAAGGGCCGCGTGAGCGAACACTAGGATAGCTTATGAGTCCCTTTAACACGTCCCTTTAAAAACGAATCTCAAAGCACCATTGTTGTTCCTAAAGAGCACTAATAGTATTGTTATATAGTTTTAGTCTATATTGCTTGTAACGTACAAGCCGATGGACAGGAAGTCGTCGTGGCCTAAAGGATAAGACGTCCGGTGCATTCGCGTTGATCGATGCGCCGGTTTTCGAATAGGTACCACAGGCGAGTATAAATTTTTCTAATGAAATACGTACTTCATAACATCGTGTAATAAAAATTAAACCCGCAAAATTATAATTTGCGTGAGTCCGCACGGGTAGGTACCACCACCCTGCCTATTTCTGCCGTGAAGCGTAATGCGTTTCGGTTTGAAGGGTGGGGCAGCCGTTGTAACTATACTGATACCATAAAGCTCATATCTCAAGGCGGGTGGCGGCATTTACGTTGTGGATGTTTATGGGCTCCAGTAACCACTTAACACCAGGTGGGCCGTGAGCTCGTACACTCATCTAAGCAATAAAAAAAAGATGAAATTAAAAAGATTTCAAACAGTCATGCTGATATTATTTACCAATCTCGGACAATTTTTTTTCTTTCTCGCTTTTTAATCTTTGCTTTTCTTTCTGTGTGGTAATAATAAGAATAAATATGTAGATACTTTTCATTTTAATTTCAAGAAAAAGTACAAGATTTTTGGATTTCAATTTTGGCATTGCACGCTGTGTTTCAAAAATATTTTATTACAATTTTGATGTTAAATTATTTCGTCCAGCGTTTCACAATATTACAATGCGAATCCATTATTGCCCCCCAATACTCATATGTAATATCACAACATTACATATGTAATTCAAATCTACTATCACATCATTAAATATTAACTAATACTATATTATATTATGATAGAGGAATAGAAAATAAATCAAAATCAGTTCATTTTACTTTTTTATTTTTGTAGTTTCACATCACGCCGTACCATACTCGTCAATTGCATGTGTCACATAAAAATAAATAAATTTTGCTCATGGATTATGTAGCATTCAGATCGTTTATAAATATACGAAAAAGATTATTTACCTAGCTATTTAATTAGTTACTTACGTTTTTATTCTAATTAATACATAGTTATAAATATAAATAACTCATTTAATTAAATAGTGGCAAAAGTGTTAAATCAATGACAAGTGTTATTTTATTTTACACATAGCAACGCCTCTGACAATGGCGGTAGCTGCTTGACTTGCTGAGATCAAATGTTTTTTTCATTGAAAAATAGTTTGCACTTCTTCGAAAGAATTGCATACAAAAAGTAGTAGAAACATATCGGTTTTCTATTTTATTTGAATCTTGTTGAATCTATTGTGTCTTGAAGAAAATTAAATTGGCTATTTTTTATTGACGAAAAAACAGATGAAGTCAGTTTCACTAACGGTTGGAACGGTTAGTGCAGTATATACTCTCTAACCGCCGACGAAAATGACTAGACAAACAATCACATCAAACATTCAAGCACCGATATATTAATATTTTAAAATGTCAACTCAAGTTAACTTAGTATTTACACTCCATATTTTTGATTTTCGTGAAATTAATTGAAAATAAGTATGTATTCTTGTTTCTCATGCATTGTACAATTTTTTATCGGGATTTCTCAGGGATTTTTTTGACCCATTTTGATGGCCTGAAACTGGTGTCCTTCCCAATAACGAAAAACTTAGATTGGTCATATAAATTACAAAATGTATTTAGTTTAATAAGTTTCAATCGAGCGTAATAAGTCGACAGTGTAATATAGTAAAATAAAGAGTCCTAGAACGGTTCGATAGTCGGCGCTTGTTGCTTGCCTCGTAATTTCCTGCGTTCAAGATGCGATTTTTGCCTGACGAATGCCATGGAATTACTTCGTTAAATTAAAACTACACTTAATATTTATTACTATGACAGTAATGCAGGAAATTAGAGAGCATACAACACGAGTTTCATCGTAATCAAGCAGCTTGAAATTGGCAATGCGGTTTACATTTATATTGGTTTATGGTGTTACCATTCACGTCTGGAAACTAATAAATGCCTTAATTTTGAAACTACGGTTTATGTAGTTTTAAACGATTGGTTCACCTTAAAAATTACCTAGAGCCTACTCCCTACTTACTAACTATTAATATTATTCGATTGTTATAGTAAGTCGACTATTCTACTGTCTGTACAATTCGAATAGCTCTTGCGTTTCTCATAGAAACAAAACATGCGACCAGCGCCTCATATTTCATTTTATACCCATGTTTGTCTCATCGTTTTTTTTAATAATATTTTTATAATATTTTATCTTAGAAAGACAAGATGTGCACAGCCTGATTGTGGGCCGCGAATGTCATAACTGCAAGTCGTTGCAAAGTTATGTTATAAAAGGAATTTAATTTTAAACACTAAGACTTTAATCAAAACAAATATATTTATTATTTATTAGTTCTGCAATTAATGGTTTTACTGAATGTCAACTGTTTTCTTACGGCACATCCATTGTTACTTAAAACGTAATCAGATATAAAATAATAAATACTAATGTATCAAAAGACGTGTAAACGTTACTTTCCTACATTCCCTATAATTGCATAATGCTTTCATCCATTGACTTTTAATGAATATAGGCGGTTGAATATTGCAAATCCAAAAAACGCTAATTCATTTTGACAGACTGTCATAGAAACGTCAATGTGTTGTCGAACCCGCGCCGATCATTGGCACATGGAATCGACTATGATCATAGTGGAATACAGCGAGCAGCCAAGCGATATCATGGTGCCCATGGCTATAGACGAGTGGTAGGCGCGGAAGGTCTTCAACACGCGGATGTAGCGAGGACAGTGAGCAAGCTCGCCTAATATCAGGCGTCCCACCTGAAACAATAACAACAAGAAAATGCTTTAATGAAATGTTGAAGAATTCTATCGATAAGAGTCTCGGGTTTATTTCTATAAAAATGCTATATTTTATTTACAATAAGCGGCGTCTCGCACCATCATTTAGTTTGTTTCTGATGCAAAGCGATCTTGAATTCTGGTTTGGATGGAGGGATTGTCGTTATTCCAATGTAATTAAGGCTTGATCCTCGTGTTTCAAGGACAGCTGCGTCCCTGTCATTTGTGAAGTTCTGGTAACAGTTTTAAATGAGATCGGCCGCGTAGAGTCTACAAGTGTAATAAAAATAACCTAGAAGGGTAGTAGTACTCACTTCCTGGCCACCTCCAGCAGACTCCTCCATCTGTGTCTTGACGTGCTTGGCGCGGAGCATGGGCCGCACCAGCCGCAGTCTCACGTAAGCCTCTATACTGAATACTGCTAACAGTAGTGCTAGCTGTAACAAAAGGAAAACACACATTGTTAGGTCGTTTAGAGATTTGATACTAGCAAAGTTTGAAGGAAAGGAAGTCCTAAAAGTATATCCATATCAACCTGTTGGATACTATTACTGTTACTATTATTATTACTTATCCGTTGGAGGACTATTCTCATGAAAGATCCGTATACTTTTTTGTTTAGTTCATATTTAGTTTAATGACGTTGCCGTTTATTAAGATAATAATAGATTGCAGTTCCATTTTACTCTTTTTTATAACTTTTCTCGTTCTAACAACATTATTGTTTTATTTGTGATTACATTTTAGACATTGGTAAATTGTAAAAAAGTAAAAGTTCAATTAGTAACAAAAAGGTAGTCTGCTTATTTATTAGTTATGATGATGTACCCGTGCTCACATACGTCCATTGATGTATCTGTCTGTTTATCTGTTTCTATAGTATTAATACCGTTTTTATTTTTGATGATGACCTAACCTATCAAAATGAATAATTATTATTATTTCCGATTGACATTAAAATTTAAGTACGATTAAATTTTAATAATAAGTAATTTAAGTAAATCCTATTATTAGTTAAAGAACCTTCAACGCGACCCTGTTGTATGTAAATGAAAGATCCAACCAATAATGTGGTCTTCGAATCAATAGTTTGTTCATAGCGAGTCGATGAATATGATTTCCAGTTAAAATATTAACTAAAGAATTACTTGCTTGTAAGATTTTTTTATTGTATATTTGCATTAGTTGTTTATTAGTTACGATGTTTTGGATAGGTATATTGAATTTGGGAGTTCAAGGATACACAAACTTTAGTAAGAATAAGTTCTTGTTCCGCTTGTAAGACTGTGTAATTCTGTTTAAAAATAAAAAACAATTTTTTATTTGTTTTTTATTCTGCAAAAAGTTGCATGGGCCTTTCTGGAAAGTAAATTTGGTTAAGCCTTTTTAATGACATTTATTACGAGATAACCTTTTAAGTTAAGAAAAATGTATGACAAAGCTTACTAAGTGTTAAGAACTGTTCCAGTCAAGCTACTTTCGAATTTCTATCGACGAGTGCCCCTGGCCAGAGTTCAGCCGTCGAGCTGAAGGTTTCTAGTTCAACGGTCTCGTACAATGATTTTAAAAGAGATGTATAGCGTTTGTAGGCAAATGATGGATTTATTTAATTACCTTAGCTTTATATAATCTCTTCTGTAATTCTACCATATTTCAGAACCTGTGACACTTTAAATTTGTGCTTTTTCTGTCTTGTCTTGTCGCACCTTAAATCTATGTATAGCCTTAAATCTCAAAACGACAAAGTTACCATAATTAATCTTGAACGCATATTCCGATGACATTGAAACATCGACTTTGTGTTGTGAGGTCGGTAGCGGCATTCGGCTGGTAGACAACGGTAACCACTTAGCAATAGGTGGGACATGAGTTCCTCTACTTAACAACGTCCATANTTCTGTCTTGTCTTGTCGCACCTTAAATCTATGTATAGCCTTAAATCTCAAAACGACAAAGTTACCATAATTAATCTTGAACGCATATTCCGATGACATTGAAACATCGACTTTGTGTTGTGAGGTCGGTAGCGGCATTCGGCTGGTAGACAACGGTAACCACTTAGCAATAGGTGGGACATGAGTTCCTCTACTTAACAACGTCCATATATTAAGGACATTACTAAAACATTCAACTTTTCAATTATTGCGAGCATACTTTATTATATTTTCACAAAAGTAGGAATAGACCTGAATGGGTTATTTTTAGTTTACAAAACAAACTTTCTCATTGAGATTGTATTCTATGTTACTGTTAAATTTCAGACAAATGTGTCAAAAACAAAACAAGCGAAGCGGCTGCCGATATTAAATAGTCATCACAAGTTTACAATGCAATTTTGTTAATAAATATAATGAGATATTTTTTACAAACAGTAACCCTGATTATTTCAGCGTCTCTATGAAGGCTGCACGTTCCTTTTACAATCGCAATGAATTTTCGCAATCATTAGTCGTTTGTGTGTTTGCTTAGTTGTTTTATCGTTTTATACGTGAAACGATGACTTATTGCTGTTTATTTCACAATAAGCTTGTTCTTTTGAAACCATGGCATTAGTTTTCTGCCGATAACGAGGCACTATTTTGATAACACCAATTGGTACTGATATTGAACACACATTCTACGTATTGAAATCTATTAGAATAAATAAAAAAGTGATCGAAGAGTTCCACCTATAACCCTGGAAGGAAGGCGATATATATAATAATGGTGGTCATAGACAGACAGATTTTTTAAATATTAACTTATCAAAATTAAAGACCTTGAACTTACTTTTTATATTCATTTCGCAAAGGCTATTTTTGATTAATGGCTATTATGTTTGTTAGAATCGGATCCGGTTGTTAAATTTTATTTTACTTAGCAAATATTTTAGTGAGAATTGCAATTGTTTTTGGAATACAACGATATAATTCGTTACGAGAAATTAAATTTTTAACGCTTTAATTGTATATAGGCGGAACTACATATTGTGTTTTAGATTTTTGTACCTTTGAGAAAATGATCTTAATTTATGCTCAAAAGTACATAAAATCTTCAGGGAAAGTGCAACAGAGGTGTTCTTCTACCACGAATGTCATCGTTCCGAGATTGCACATATTTAATGCAAAATCGTTAGCGATATTCAGGTTTTTGCTGGGTCACTTCTAAACTATAATTTCTATAAACTTGTACCGTTGAATATTGAGTTTATTTTATTTTCTTTACTTTTGCCAAACTTTTAGTTTTGTATTTAAACTATAAAAAAGAAGTCAGTAGTATCCCTAGGTATTTAGAAATCGTTGGAGACCACATTGGCAACTGTTTAGTTTTGTAAAGGGCACGAGAGATACACTGGATACCACAGGTCTGCAAATATATATCCTTAATATTTTATCTATTACTATTTTTCGAAATTGAGTATGAATTTAAAAGTCTCCATATAATCTCGTACAAGTCTTAGCAACACGTGGAGTGTTGTCGCTCATGTCGCTTGGATTGTAAAAGTCATTAATGTGTAAGCACAATGCTGTAGATCATTACGACATTTCTGTTTCATTACTGGTAAATAAAAAAAAAATCGCGCCATAATTGAACAGGTTGTTAACCGTATTTCATTCCGAATCATTCGATATGATCTCCATCTCAGACCCTGCAGCACTGTACACACGAAATGTAAAGCCGTTAGTACCATCTGGTGACAAGGAAATCAGCAATATAGCCTGCACCGAATAAAGGCGAATGTCGTTTGTTTAATAAACGCCACAAGTTATTATTTTGTTCGGTAGCGTTCTCATTCAGTGATCGTAGTTTTTTTGATAAGTTCAGAGCCGGCGCGCCTGTAATTATTGTAATTTACAGTTTTGCAAAGATACAGCATTGCAATTTTGCTCTTTTTATATCGCGTAAAAGTTAGTTTCGCTTTATAAACTTCCAATTCTACCTATTTTTGCCGCCAGCCAATTGTGGGTAACGCTCCGAAGACTAGGACAGTTGTTACATTAGGAGCCTAACCTCATGCCTGAAGAGAAGTGGCGATATTCATGTTCTGATGTCCATGGTAATGTCATGCATGAGGCACACACGATCCTGCTTGTCCACGATCGGAATATCCGATGCATAAATAGATGTGAAATGTGCGGTGTGAACTGAATTGAACAGGGGCTCATACCGCAGGAGACGGCAGGGGAACAGATGGAGAAGGAAACATTAAGACAGAACGCAAACCAAAAAACTTTGAGATGAGATTGTTATTTGAGTATACGTTAGTGAAAGTAAATCAACAAGATATTGTATATGAAAAACAGTCTATTGTTTTTGATTGAATACCTTTGTACTCAATTTCTTATTTACAGTATTGGCGCGAACAACAACAGATTACTGTTGTTATCATGATTGATAGAGACAGGCGAACTTTGGTGTTATTATCTTGGCGTCGTTCCGGAAAGTACTTCGACTTCGTTCTGAAGGCTTATCAGGTGCTGATCACGAAAAAGAAAATGACCTCGTACACAGCGTGCACTTATTTATTTACTGCCGTTATGACAAATGGAAGGGCCACATAGAAAACGTCCCTGATTGCACATTAAATGTTTCTATGATATATTATTTCCTACTGCTTATCTCTATTGTTTTAATTACAATAGCACAGTGAGCGGTTTCACAGCCCCTCCAGTGTTAAATGAATGCTGTGCGGCAGAAATGAAGAGGACGATGCAAACTATTTGTGCGGATTTACGTACATATGTTCTGGGTTCCGTAATTACACGAATTTATGTTTTTTTACGGGATTAATATGTTGTTATATTATGATGATATTAGTTTGTCGGAAGTCGTCAGAGCCATGCGCGCGCTACCTTCATTACACGCTAACATTTAAGACTTCATATGTACCTGCATAAATCTCGACGACGCTTTAATAAATTTTAATAACAGTAAACGTAACGAGTGTCGCTTTGGCGATCTGTTCCCGTACCTCATCTTATAACCTTTAGTAGATATTAGCGGATCGAAGGCATTAATATTGAGATACTGGCAAATGACTTGTTGCCAGTGTTCAAAATGGTATATAAAGTGCGTGAAGTGAAGCCGTGAACTTTTCGCTTTGTACAATAAATTCTGATGACGTAACAAATGCACTTAAATGCATTAAGTGCTTGCTTTACGCTATTTTGGAAAGTTTTTTTATTTTTATACCTCGTGTGTACACTTCAGTCCAATGATATTATAATAAGCAACATCCCGATTGACAATACGACAATTTGAAATGTATGAAGACGTATGTTGCGAGCCGTTTTAGACGCGGAAGGTATGCCTCGAACAACTTACCTGGTATTAAATGGTTATCGGGGCCCATAGACATCAGCAACGCGAATGCCGCCACCCCCCTCGAGACATGATTAAAGTCTTTGTTTTTTCAGTGCAACGGCAAACTGTTTTTACAGTTTAGACAGTATGAACATAAGATCTTGGCCGCAGCTCTCGGGGTGACCGTAGCTGAGGTCCACATAACGTAAGCAAGAAACTGACCTGTATCCATGAGGTGTTCTCGAATTCCGTAAGGCACTGTGTGCGGAGGTACGCCAGGAGTCCCAGCAAGCTCATGCAGGCGTTGAACGCGTAGTAGATAGGGAACAGGATGGTCTGCACGCGGCCGAACTCGTGTCTCGGAAGGGAGAAGTATAGGACGATACCTGGAGATAAACAGTTTTATTGGTTATTGGTGCTGAGGCTTATTTTCTTGGTGCTGGGCCTGGATTAATACCAGTAAGATAATAGGTTTCCATGTGCCCATATGTTTTTTTTACCACTTTCTGCCGCAAAGTTCGTGCGCTCCGGCTTGGAGGAGAAGGAAGGCTGTAGTCTTGTCACAATTATCAAATCAGAACACATGATTGTTTTGCGTATAAAATAGAAAACATATTGGTGTCTATGCGTCTGGGACCTCATACTGTCTATGAGTTCTATATTTCTAGGTCATAGTGTGTCAGTACCGCGCGTATTACGTCCAAGACCATTATCGTCCATTGAATTTGACCCAGTATCTACAACTGTTATTAATATGACCCGCGGAGGGCGAATGTATTCACAGAGCACCTATTGCGAGACCAAAACAATTTAGCAATATATTTTTGCGGTAAAACCCGATATCGACATGTTGTTGTGCGGCGGTTATCGTTTAGAGCAAAAAGTAAATTCTCAAATCATTAATTTAAAAACAAAAACTCAACCGTACAACAAACGTACTTGTTTGGTTCCAATTAAAAGAAAACGGTCGCCTTATGTCGAGTACGTGCATCCGAAATACAATTACATGCAATTATATCATTATTCTGCTATGTACTAATTTGTTTTACGTCATTCCAAATGTTCGGTTGGATTTGGTGGTTGGCACGCAACGCGGCAATGATTCATGTCATAGCTCACTTTAGATGCTCTGTAAATTACGAAAAGAATTTTAAAAATAATTGTAGAGTACTCGAAATGAAGTCAAACATAATTTACTTTTAAAAAGAAAGGTTTTAATTCTTAAATTCGTCAAGTACACCGTTTTTGATGTTCTAAGATAAAGAGTTTCTAAAGTTATTGTCATAATGTTCTAGAAATTAAATCGAAGATTTGCTTCAATTGAAAATAAAATTTAGTTTTTAATATTTTATGTTAAGTAACGAATATTTTATGAGTATCAGGGAAATTGAACCCATATTTAAATGTTACTAATTTATGACAAGCCTTAAGGGCAACTAAACTTAACTACATTCCATTTAAGTTGATAATGTACTATAATCTCATATTAAGAACTAAAACACACAATGTTAAACTCTAAGTCTCATTTAATAGATCTTTGGACTTTTTGGGTAAACCGAGGCAATTAAAAGTACTTAAATGTAAATAAACATGTGTTTATTGTGGACGTATCTGGAACAATGCATCTGCTAGCGGTGTCCTTTAATATGGTGTTGTAATTAGACAGATAAAACATGTCTGTATTTATATTGTATCTGGGTTATAATTCCTATTATTCAGACTGCTTTAAATGTTGTTTATGGATGTATCTGGGCAGACTGGAGCCGGTCGTGGCCCACCTGACTTTACTCACGTTCTGAACTCGAAATTTAACTACATGTGAGAATGTAAAGACTCTTTAAGTTCAATTTTGACCGATTTTTAAATGGTATTTCACCATCAAACACGTGATGTATTGATTTTGGTGGTTTGATTGGCCTCGACGATGGTAATGGAAAGTCTATTTGTATCTCATCATACAGAACAACTCATAAAAATACGCATATTTTAATCAAATTATAATTAAATAATTAATGTGGACATATTTTATTTATAAATTTGAAATCTTCGTGCATACAGTTAACAGTGTGGGGCGCTTAGTGATAGGCCACCCGTGGATGCCAAGTCATTCTGTGAGCTATTCTCGCTATCTACGCGTGACTTTTTGAAAATGGTTGAAGGTGAGTGGCACATTTACGTCGTAGATGTCTATGGGCTCCAGTTACTACTTAACAGCAGGTGGGCTGTGAGCTCGTCCACCCATCTAAGCAATAAAAAACACATGCTGGTAATTGGAATGAACAATTTTGAGTACAGATATACACAAACATAACGCCCGTCGAGACAGTGACAGACATGAAGTGTAGTAAAACGTATTCTGTTATTCGTGAATAATATTTTTGAATTTCCCTTCACGAATACCTAACATTAATTCAAATTCAAAATAATTTATTTCAACTTAGATGTCAGTATGACACACTTGTTGAATGTCAAAATACAAATAACAATGTTAACTCTACCATAATCTAATAAAATAATAAGTCGACACATGAATAGAATTGATCAAATATGTTCGTGTTTGTTCTAGTGTGTGTCCACGTTATTGTTTGCCTCACGCTACTCTTGTCACAATACAATTTCCAATATTTTAAACCCGTTTTGAACGGCTCCCAGGTCGGACGAATTTTACTGAGAACTTCACATCTCGTAACGACGTCGTCGCGTCCAACACGCAATCAACACGAAGCGTGCAACCCTATACGGCGGAGTAGTTCGGCGAATGATATTAAATTTTAATAACTTGTCAAAACCACAAATTATTAATATTGTTTTTTTTGGATTTTCTTTCAGCTGTTTAATATGAATGGTGGCACTCACAATATTCTCTCTGATTAATCTCTCTAATAATCTCTGAGATCTTGTAAGCATTCAACACCGGGATGTCCGTGGGTTGTTCAAACGTGTATGATATAGAAAAAAGACTTGCTACTTTTTTCACTTATATTTGAGCCTATCCATCAATTTAATTCATAAGCACTCGCTATTTCTCCCTTCAATAATTTGTACTTAGGTAACTCAACGCTAGTTATGTTAGAAATGAAACACATAAAGCTACCGTGTAATACAAAGTAGCAAAATCGTTTGAAGATCTCTAAACCAGCACCATAAAAAACTCTCACTTATAACTTATAGACTACAGTGAGGGCATACCTAATCACACACACACACAGACATACACACGTAAATGCGTAAGCTGATTACGAATATGTAATTGAAGAAAGCAGCTTAACTAGATCGCAACATGTTTTTGTGTTAATTTAAACATTTTTAAGTCAGCGTTTGTTTCCCGTAGCGGAGGACCGCCATCTATACGCCACAGTAACCGGGAGATTGACTTAAATTACGTTGTGTTTAGTGATATTAACAGGCGTTCACTGGTATTTAGTGAACGTCTGTAATTAATATACAAAAACAGATATTTTTGTGATATAAACATTACTTAAGTGGAAACTTGGATGTGCTTTGCTTTTTCTGTAAAGCGATTCTGGTACTTATATTCGTATGCAGGATAACATGTAAATTAAGACGCGGATTGTATTATCAAGTGACTTTCTAATTACAGCATATTTGGTTTTTATGAATTGATCACAATAAAACAAACATCAGACTAATTACTTAATCTGAATATGTAAGTGAAAATTCAGTTTGTTTTGGCGTTGTGCACAGAGTGTAACAAACACAATGACAAACAGACAAAAACTATTTGTTAGAAGAAATAAAGATACTAACCGGACACAAGCGTCATCCATATCTGAGCTCCGAGGTGAGTGGCCACGGCCCCCACGTACAGCGCCCTCCAGCCGCGGACGTTACTAGCTGAGCCGGGCCGGCTCATCCACGCCAGCAGCACCAGCAGCGCCAGCGCCACGTGGAACGGCTGCGATGTCCGTGTCGCTATACTGTTCACAAAATATCTAAATGTTATTTACCGTTTCATTACAATTTTTTTTTCTACCTAAGCTGATAGCCTTGAGCTATTTCAGCGTAACCATAACTAGTAGGTGAGCTCACCGGGCTCAAACCGGAGTGATGCTAAAACTGACCCTAGTAAGAGCCGTGCTTCGCAGAATCTACCACCGGATCGGAAACGCGACCCACTGAGAAGATCCGGCGAGAATGTGGGCTGTGTCTATGGGTTAGTTCGCTCGTCGAGCCCTTCGTCGCAAGCGACGGATTCGACGAGGGCGGTGACCGGTCATTACAATGATTTTCCTACGACAACTATACTCGAAAATCTGTCTAGTATCAGAAGTTCAAGCCAGCGTAAAGAATAGTTTGACCGTCCATGTGAACAATAGTCATGTCACAAGCTACGTCATCGTACTATTAGGGTTGGAAGATTTAAATACGTACCTAACAAATGTTCACGATTGACTTCCACGGTGAAGGAATAACATCGTGTAATAAAAATGAAACCCGCAAAATTATAATTTGCGTAATTACTGGTGGTAGGACCTCTTGTGAGTCCGCGCGGATGGGTACCACCACCCTGCCTATTTCTGCCGTGAAGCGGTGATGCGTTTCGGTTTGAAGGGTGGGGCAGCCGTTGTAACTATACTTGAGACCTTAGAACTTGTATCTCAAGGTGGGTGGCGCATTTACGTTGTGGATGTCTATGGGCTCCAGTAACCACTTAACACCAGGTGGGCTGTGAGCTCGTCCACCCATCTAAGCAATNAAAAAAAAAAAAAAAAAAAAAAAATTACTGCTAGGATTGGATGTGTTATCGGCGGTTGGCGTCATGCGAGGTCACGTCTGGTCGGTAGTCGTGAATTTGCAATGAAACTGTAGAACGTCTTGTTAACACACTGTGCATTATTCAATATTTGCCGACACGGGCACCTGGCGTGGTACAGTGTAATGTGTACTCAGGCGCGTCATGTACTCACCGCGTTACCATCTGCGTGTGTTTGTGCTCCGAGGATATTCTATTTTGCTAAGCAGTTTACCTTAACTTAGTTAATCACTGTTTAAATGTGTCGTAGCAACAGCCTCTCCCTTCTGACAATCATGAAGCTTTTCAATACATTTAAAACATTTACAAAATCTAGAAATGGTTTTGAAAATTTAACATTTCCGTGCCCTAGACTTTTCTGAAACTTATGACAATTGCTTGAGATGCATTCACATTCCTGCCGAGCCAAGAACCCGAAGCTTAGAAGTTCCGATAAAAATAAGATTTTGAGACTTAAAAATGTAGATGAGTTATTATAGTGATGATTATGATTAAAGTGATAAAACTGTAACCAATTTCAAATTATATTGGTGGTAGTTACATAATATGTGGCGTCGGTCGTTTTTACCAGTATCACATTACTTGCACAACTAAGCACTAATTCGTTTATGTTTTAGTTTTAGTCGCTATGACGATAATAAATACATATGAATTAATAATTAAAGTAGAGCCTAAGAAAGAGACTAGATTAATGGCCCAGCTCGAATATTAATCCACGAGGATACTGAGTGAGGGGGGTCGCCAGGAGCATATAATATGTACGAATTCTATTGACTACTACTGTGGTGCTTTAGTTAGCGAATTAATATCTNTCGTTTATGGTTTAGTTTTAGTCGCTATGACGATAATAAATACATATGAATTAATAATTAAAGTAGAGCCTAAGAAAGAGACTAGATTAATGGCCCAGCTCGAATATTAATCCACGAGGATACTGAGTGAGGGGGGTCGCCAGGAGCATATAATATGTACGAATTCTATTGACTACTACTGTGGTGCTTTAGTTAGCGAATTAATATCTCTTTAATCATTTTATCTAATTTTGAATCTAACTGAATTCGTAATTTTTTAAATATGTACAAACAAAAAATATAATTCAAGGAAAGAGTATGACGAAAACATTTCAGTCACGTCGATGGCAACCGATTTTAAACTTGTTTATCCCGCTCCGATTGTGTCTGATGACGTGCGACAAACATCAGTTGAAATCAGTCATTTACTATCGCAATTTGATTGTTGTTTAAAGCCGACACGCCCACTGATTGTTATAGTACGTACTTATGTGCATACATTGTTTAAAATCGATTTTTGTTGGTTCATTGTTGTGGATTATATTAGTAAACGCATCATTCTGGGATAAGTTCGTATTGATATCAATGTTAGTGGTGATCTAGCAGCAATTTGCACAACTCGTGCGCGCTCTAGTCAAGTTGAGCTTAATGAATTGGTTCCTTTGTCGTGTGAGTCAATAGTGACTACATTACTGTACTTGTCCAAGGTTTGGACCACGGCCCGGCAGCGACGTACTGGTGGAACAACTGTTACGATGTTGAATTTCATTAAAATCTTTTGTTTTATTTAATATCTCTCAAAAACGATGTCGAAATCTATATATATAAAAATGAATCTGCGTGATGTATGTACGTACGCACACAACTTTTGAACGCCGGCAACGAATTGGATTTTTTTTTGTTTTTTTTTGTTATTGCCAGGAGAATGTTCTATAAAAAAAATAAGAAAATTACGCGGAAAATTAGAAAGTTTAAGAAAACTTAACCACCATATTCCATTTTCTAATGTTACCTTATGGCGTTTTACATAGTATTGATAGATTACGTGCTGCAAATATCCCATTGGTTTATAAGAAAGTTCAACAAGTCAAGCGAGGGCGAGTCGCTAGTATTAGTATAGAACAGGTATCGACCGATAAAATACAGAGCAGATAAATCAATCTTAATACTTCATTGAAGCTATTTTAGGACATTGCATGTGCCTGTGTGCATGTGTCGGCGTGCATGGACTGAGCCAGAGCGCGTGCCTCAAAACGTGAATAATTTCTCCACATTGCGCGAAACGTTTACGAGAATTACGCAACGATTTCTTTTTATCAGTAGGCCGCGAACGTCGGCTCTTATCGGCTGGAGTTGGACGACGTGCTAAGTCTCACGTGGGCACGTTGAGGTGACTAGACTATTACCTGGAACAATATTACTGCGTGCGTATACCGCTTGTCAATATTGTGCAGTACAATTATCCAATGCGTGTAGATACTTTTACCAACACATAATCTGTTCAATAAATTCTGCTCTCATCTCAGAGAGCTCACTGGATATGTTGAGATCTCCTTGCTGTCAAGAGACGTAGAATAGAACCGTTGCGTAGCGAATGACCTCTAGAACTCTCATTACACTGATCAGGCTTGGTGTGAATGTTAATCAGTTTTCGTAATGATCTCTCGGTGAGGTCAAATTTTTACCGATTTCAACATTAAATAGGAAGGTTTTTGATTAGATTATATTGTTTTTTTTTCTTTGTGACCCACACAGTCAACACACCTTATAAGTTGCTAGCATAATAATAGAGATTAGAAATAGGAGTATGATTTTCAGAAACATGCATAGTATTACGTATTCTATCTTGAATATGCAACTGCTTGGCCGGGGGGCACGCATGAGACCGCATGACACTGTCGTAGTGTAATATTTTTCTTTTAGCATTTTCTTAAAATAGCAAACAGGTACTTGAAGTCAGATTAAATCTACAGATCATAAAGATAATGCATCTATTTTTGGTTTTATCGATAACAATAGGATATTTATCCAAGTAAGAATGACAATGCTAGAAGAGGCTTATTCTCAAAATTACCATTTTGTATTAACTGTTAACTATAAAAAAATATAACATTATTCCTTTAAACGGAATCTAATAAATAATGCTATAATATTCTTACTGTAGGGGTATTTTACAAGGAGATTAAAATATGACGGATCATTTCAAAAAACTCCTTAGAGTACTTCTCGTTCAACACGCAAAATGCGATAATCGGTCCTTAAATTCTCTAATAGTTCTCAAACGTGTGTTGGCGACGCAGATAATGTGGTTCATCGCAATGTACTCGCATTTTTAGATGCCATCTTTATATTCCGTTGTGCTTGTGGAGCCACTGGCATTTCCTTAACCTCAAGTGCACCGTAATCTTGCTAAAATCCGTCGCAATGTAATAGTGTTGTGTGTTGCTTCTATACGCGTTTGTGCCACAGTACTGCCTATTTTCGAAGATATAAATGAATAGTACATCTCACTTTGAAGAGCGGGATGACGTTCTTCTCATCGCATGTTTCAAGCTATATATACCGCTTACCGTTAAATAATTAATTGTAATCATTAACCAGAAATTTCAAGTTCTCAAGGGAACATCAACGGCGGCGCGGCGTCCCGAATGAAGCACGAGTGGTACAATTAATAGGCGGTAAGCAAAGTGATTAATCTTAGCTTCATTTCGTTAATTGGTTGACATCGAATAGCGGTAGCAGCAGTAAAGTCATTGAGATTATTTATCACATGATCAGATGACAAACGAGAAAAGTGGAAAGGAACGTACGATTGGGAACCTCGCGCGGCGTAGCTTCCAGATGAAACAAATTATTATATTATATGTTCATGTATTAGAAAAATGTAAAAACCTGTAGTGTAATTTATTGTCGTGAAAAAAGGTATCGATTTTATGAGACTTGTCTCTAAATCTCAAAATAGTGATTCAAAATCGGTAAATAATATTTTAAATGAAAGTCGCCGCGTCACAAATAAACCTAAATGTATTCGTCAGAACAAAAAGATCACGCGGATCAGGTAACATAATGCAATCCAAATAAATGAATAATTCATTCAAGTGTTTGTTGAAAACAATACGAGTTTTTGTAATCAATGCGTTCAAGTTCGCACAAATAAGATTACGTACGTATTCAGAGAATCGCCCGCAGCATAATTGTGATATTTTGAGCTTTCTAGCTAACTTTGATGCTGTTCACAGTTTGATAACATATTATAAGTAAGTAATTATTCAATTTATTATTAGCTATGTTCACCGAACTTTCATCTTCACTATAATTTATCTTTACTGCTGGACACATTGGACTACACATCTACATTAACCTTACCGCTTCG